ACCCTGGTGTTGGTGCCTCCAGGAGTGTGTGGAACGTGCCCTACATATCCCAGGCGTACCTGATCCGAGGGGAGACCCTGCGGGAGGAGCTGCCCCAGAGGGAGGTGTTCTCAGGGAGCGACACTGACCCGGACATGGCCTTCTGTAAGAGCCTGCGGGACAAAGTGAGTGGCGGTCAGGCCTGGGTGCAGTGCCTGGGGGCCGGGTGCTGGGAGGCACGGGGCAGCCCCCTGGCGTATCCCCCATAACCACCACCCTCCCACCCCAGGGCATCTTCCTCCACCTCAGCAATCGGCAGGAATTCGGTCGGCTCCTGGCCACCTCCCGGTACGACACAGACCACCTACACCCTGACCTCTGGCAGATCTTCGACAACCCCCTTGTGAGTCAAGCCTCACTGAAAGCCAGCATGTCCCTCACCCTCCACCCAACACTGCCTGGGCTGGGAGTGAAGGGACACCTGTCTGACATGCTCTGACCCCTGCAGGACTGGAAGGAACAGTACATCCATGAGAACTACAGCCAGGCCCTGGAAGGACAGGAGATTGTGGAGCAGGTGAGCCAGCTCAAGACCCCCCCACCTAACCCATAGCCAGGGCCTCTCCCCAAATCCTCGCCGACCACCTGGATTAGCAATTTTTGCCCTGAGCTCCCTGATCAGGCAAGCTGGAGGCAGAGCTGAGCAGGTAGGGCTCCAGCCCCACCTTTGGCATTTGACAGAGGGACTCCTCTTGCCCCTGTGGCTGCAATCATATCTTTAACAAGGGATGTGTTCATGTAAAGAAGTTTAGAAACCACAGTCCCTGCACCCAGGTCTCTGGGACCCTCCTGCCACCTGTGCTGTGCCACCCTTGGCCTAGCCCGTCCCCAGCTACATTCATCCCACCTTCCCCTCTCCTGCTAGCCCTGTCTCGCATCCCTGTGCCTCCTGTCCCCTTCCCCTGTTCAGCAGCATCACCCCAGCCCTGTTCTTCCCTGCTCCATCCTCAGCCATGCCCAGACGTGTACTGGTTCCCGCTGCTGTCAGACCAGATGTGCGACGAGCTGGTGGAGGAAATGGAGCACTACGGCCAGTGGTCAGGAGGCCGGCACGAGGTGGGGGCTGGCAGAGAGAGAGAGGGGCCCCCAGGAGGAGGGAATGCATGGTCTGGTTGAGGAGGAAGGAAGTCAGGAGAGTGGGAGCAGAGAGGGCCCCCAAAGTGGAATCGGCCCCTGGTGGTACAACTGCAGTCATTCATTGAAGAAATATTTACTTGGCCACTGTCCTAGATGGAGCCCTGCAGTGAGGACTTGTGCCAGCCGGGCTCTACCTTCTCACAGACAGTAGCGGCCACCCCGCGTCTAAGGCTGTGATGGGCAGGCCAGGTGCTGTGGGAGCTACAGGGCGGCCTTGGCCCAGACTTGGATGACCAAGGGGTCAAACAAGGTGACAACTTAGCCGAGACTTGAAGGGCCAGTAGCAGTTAGTGAAGCTGAGAAGGAGCAGAGAAGACTATTGCAGATGGAGGGAGCACAGGTTTTCAAGCCTCAGAGTGAGAAGGGGGAGGAATCCGGCAGTGCTACTAGGGAGGTCACACCCCGAGAGTGTGGGGTGGCTCAGTGCCCACTGGACACAGGATTCCAGGCTGGCTGGAGGCTACGAGAACGTGCCCACCGTGGACATCCACATGAAGCAAGTGGGCTACGAGGACCAGTGGCTGCAGCTGCTGCGGACGTACGTGGGGCCCATGACCGAGAGCCTGTTCCCGGGCTACCACACCAAGGTGGGCCGCCCACCTGCTACCCCTGCACCCACCACCCGCCGCACCCAGTCCTGGGCTGGAATCCCCCACAGAGCTCTTTCAGCCCAGTAGGTTCTGGGGCCCCTGTATCTCCATGGCATCCGGTCCCCAGGCATGACACTGCACAGGGGCCTGGGGAGGTGAGCAGCCAGGCTGAGACCCCGTTAGCCATGAGGCCCTTCCAAGGCTCTCTTCCCAGATAGGGCTGTCAGCTCCCCAGAAGACCCCCGGACCTCCCGGCCTTCCCTGTAGCCTCTTCTCTCGTGTCCCCCAGACTCGGGCAGTGATGAACTTTGTGGTCCGCTATCGTCCAGACGAGCAGCCCGCTCTGCGGCCACACCACGACTCATCCACCTTCACGCTCAATGTTGCCCTCAACAGCAAGGGCCTGGACTACGAGGTGCGCCTGCCCCTCCACACACTCTTGTCCTTGAGCTCCGACATCCCCTCAGAGCCCCTGCACCCTCTCCTCAGCTGCCTCCCAACCTGTGCCCCAGCCTTTTCCTATTTCCCAGGATTTTGGGGGGTGTCACCTCCTAAATCCCTTCCTCTGGGTTTCCCTTGTCTGCGGATACCCCGGCCCACAGCTGCTCTCCCCCCTTGCCTGGCTGCCCCTCCCCCTCCTACCTGTGCACTCCCCAGGCCTCATGTCTGCCTACCCCATTTGTCCCCTTCTCTTCCCAGGGAGGTGGCTGCCGCTTCCTGCGCTATGACTGCGTGGTCTCCTCCCCGAGGAAGGGCTGGGGCCTCCTGCACCCTGGCCGCCTCACCCACTACCACGAGGGGCTGCCCACGACACGGGGCACTCGCTATATCATGGTGTCCTTTGTCGACCCCTGACACTCAACCACTGCCAAACCTTCCCTGCCATTGTGCCTTCGTATGGGGTATGTGACCCCAATCTGGGAGAGGGGGTGTGTCCATCTCCTCACTTCCTGAGTGTATGTTCTCTTTGCCTGGAACTGAATGTGTCACCATAGCTCCCAGCACACAGCCCTCTCAGGAAGCTCCCTCCCCCCCCCTCCCCTCAGCCCCCAAGAGTTCATAGGGACAGGGCTTCTGGGGGTTCCCCGTGTGATAAATTATTAAGGTTCCTCAGTCTCCCTCCCAATAAAGGAGGATTTTTAAATCTGGAGTTCATTTGTCATCTTTCACCTCCTATTGACTGACTCATCTCTCCTCCTGCCAGTCAGAGTAGGGGACCATGGAAAAGGGAGAGAAGAGGAAAAGGAAGGAGCAGGATGTTCCTCATGCGGGTACCTAGAAGCTTCCCTCCCCTTCCTTCCTCCAGCTGGGGAAACAGGAGGAGGCCAGAACTTCCCAGGCTAGGCTCAGATGAAACACCACCCCGTGCCCAGCCCTAAGGCTTCTCACTGGTCTATTCATCCCTTGATAGTGTGATCTTCCCTGGGTGAAGGGTGAGGTGGCACATGCCTGGGCTGGGGTACAGGGACTGGCTAGAAGAAGGAAGCAAGTTTTCTAATGAGGGTCCTGTCTGCCACCTAAGCTGCTTGTGGGCTGAGCTCAGGAAAGTAGTCCCACGACGGGTGTCATCCTCAGGAAGCTTCCTAGATGGTGGGAGTGACAAGTGGCCTGGAGGAGGAAGGGACAGACCTCCTTAGAGCAGGTCTTGTGAGGCACCAAGTCTTGTCTCCCTGCCTTGGTCTCCTCCAGCCTCGCACTGAACACTGAATTTATCTCTCAGCTGTTCCCAGGCGTCTTACCATCCACTGTTAGAGTCCCCTTCTCCCTCCCTGCCACCCAGCCTCCAGGGCCAGCCTCCTCTGGGAAGCCCACCCTGTGCCTGGCTGGGCTGCCTGTCCGAGTGGATGCAGCGTCTTTCTGGCCAGACTGAAATCCATCCCCCACCGCCTTTGTCACCTACCCTGTGGACGGCAGTTGCTAAGCAGGGACAGGAGAAAACTCCTCTTGGCAAAGTGTCCTCCCTCAGAGGCCTGAGCTGCCCCACAGGCTTGGACC